TTCATAAGACCACCTGTCAGCCCCAGGGACCCAGGGCCACAGGCACCTTAACCATCACGAGCCTCTTGGTCCATGGCTGGTCCTGGGGCCATGGCTCCCCGATGCAGAACCAGAGGGTGTAGCGTGGTGAGCGACTGCCTCCTTCAATGAAGGTAATCAGATCTGGGGGGCCAGGAAGCTTAGTCAGAGATAGGAAAGAGACCCTCTATCCATCCCTCCCCCCTAAACCTGAGTAATAGCCCTGCTATCTCCCTTTACCTAAGGCCTCTGCCACAATGACCAGGGGATTGCCTGTTTGGGAACTGTCCCTGTGGTTCTGTTTGTGTTCCTCCTCCCTCCAGGGGGGGCTGGAAGGTTGCCCCCAACCCCTACCCCAGAGCCGCAGCACTCAGCATGGGACAGGCCCAGAGCAGGAGAGTCCCCCCTCAGGGATGCTCAATGGCTCTGGACTAGAAAGTGGCTGACATTTACTGCTCTTCAGCTCTCTCAGGCTGTGCTGTCCAATATGTAGCCATTAGCCACACGTGGATATTTCAACTTAAATTGTAAAATGAATAAAATGAAAAACTCACCTTCTTGGTTGCCCTCACCTGAGTACTCAACAGCCACCTGTGGCTAGTGGCTTCCGTATGGGACAATGTAAATACAAATCATTTGCATCACTGCAAAATTCTATCGGACAGTGGAACCCTAAGGGACTCGCCTTTCTTGCTAGTTTGTCTGTCACCATAATTAACCATAATGACAGTGACAGTGGCAGCTGATTCCCTGAGCACCTTCTCTGTGCTGGGCCCTGTGGCTCACACCAGATCTGGCAGGTAGGTAGGTAGAGGAGACTCTGCCTAGACTTGACACGCTCGAAGCAGTCAAGTCCCTTGTCCCAGGTTACACAGCGAGCGGAGTGTAGGTCTGGATTCAATCCCAAACTTCCCCAGCCCAGAGTTCTTAACCCCTGTGCCCTGCTGCTTTCTACTCATGACTAAGCCCCTGCCTCACTCACCTGCCACGAAGGGCCCCAAGTCGAACACGCTTCCTTCCTTGTCCTTAGGGACCTCGCCATCAGCCCCATGCCCACTGCTGGGGAGCAGCTCCTCGCCCATGGCCCAGTATGTGTGGCAGTGCCCCAGGCGCTGGGCCCAGAGCCGCTGCCCGGCCCGCCGCAGAGCCAGCCCCCCGCCCAGGCAGCTGAGCACACGCCTCACGTAGCCCGTCACTCCCCTGTCTGTCAGGAACAGCCCAGGGTCTGGCAGTGTTATTGGCTGTCCAGGGAGCATGCTGTCTGCCACTTCGGACCCCACCAGCCGCAGGCCCCCTGGGCATGAGATGGTCTGCTGGAAAACTTGGCGGCCCCGGTAGAAGGCTGTCACCTCAAACTCCCACTCTGAACAGCAGCAGTGGTGGTGAGAAGGGGGAGGAAGATGGAGAGAAAGAATGTGAGGGGCCTATTGCCGCAGCCTCAGCCCGCCTCAGCCCCTCCCAGCCCACAGCTGACGCTCACCTTCCTCTGGCACCAGCAGCAGCCTCAGCGGGTTTTCAGGGAGCTCCAGGTTTGGGCAGGGAGCGGGACTGTCCAAGCTGGGGCTCAGCAAGAGCTGAGGGTGGGGCTCAGGGGCCACAGCGAGGCTTGGGGTCTGCCCGTTCGGGGCTGGGGCCAAGACCATGTTGTCCAGTAACTCCTCCAGCATGTCTTCCTGGAGAAAGAAAAAAGAAAAAAGAAGATGAGCATTTCAACAGCCTTTTCTAGAGACTTCATATAGACCAGGCCTTGTGCTCAGCGATGTGGAGGCACAGGTGTCATACCTGAGCTCTGCCCTCAAGGAGCTTCCAGTCTAGAGGGGGAGCTGGCAACGGGCACCAACAGCAAAATACACAGTCTAATGGATGCCGGGTGCTGGGACGGCAGGGGAGTAGCTAACTCATGCCGAGGATCTGGCTCTATGCAAGCAAGACCTGGGCAGGGCAGGCTGGGCAAGATTTCAGAAGGGACATTTCTTTCCCTGTCACAGACATCAGCAAGATCAAGAAGAGGGAGTTTTGAGTTCCCAAGAGGCTGAGGGCATGTGCAAATTGAGGAAAGCTATGAATCCTGAAAGGTGTGTTAAGGACTTGAATGCCCAGTGAAAACTCTGAATTTTCTTCCTTAAAGGCTGGGAGCCATAGGCTGGGAACAGGGGAGAGACAGGGTCAGCTCTGGGTCAGGCAGAGGACAGACTGGAGGCCGGGGAGGAGGCTGGGGTGATGGTTGAGGGGGAGAGGAGGCGGCCTGAACAGGCCCATGGGGAAGGGGCAGAGGGTTGGGCACATTCTCACCTGGGTATCAGAGGTACTGCCTCCACCACTGGTCTCTGAAGAGGTGTCCAGCTGGGAAAAGTCCCCAACTCCTGCCAAGGAAGATGGTGAGCAGAGTAAGGGTGCTGAGAACCCTCAAGATCCCAGCGCTGCAGGCGAAGCCCCGCTCTGGCACACCTGAAGTCACAAACTCATAGATTTTATGCGGGTCGTGAGGGTCCTTGCTCCGGTCCTCGGCTAAACGCACCACTTCCTTCCGGTTCAGGGCGGACCGGAAATTCCTCTTCCAGGTTGGCAAGTCCGGCTTATCCTTCCCGGGAGTGTAGGCACCGCTGGCCTCGGCCCAGGCCTGGGGCAACAGTGGTGCCAGGATAATGAGGGACGATGACTTAGACCCCCATCCCTAAGGGCCTAACCCTGCCTCCTCTGGTTCTAACACCACCCTCTCTCCCTGGCAAGTTCTAACTCCGCAAGGTTCCATCTCCAAATTCTCTGCGCCCCAAGCTACCCCTCCTACCCTCCATCATCCCTCACCTCCAATTTCCAAAAACCTTTTCTAAGCCAGCCTTCCAGGTCCTACTTGGCATCTAACCCTGTCACCACCTGCCCCAGGACACCCTCCGTGATAACCCCAACCCCTCACACTCTGTTAACCACCACTGCTGTATTCTAATTTGGTAGTTAGTAACCCCAGATTTGGGGTTCTGAGTCTCGCCTTTAATGTTCCAAGAGCCACCCCCAGAATCCTACAACCAAGAGCGGGGGCTTCAGCTCCCCGCCCCCAGGATGCATTTCCTTGGCGTTCTAACACCACTTTTCGGTTCTATTCCCGGAACCCGGCTGTTCCAACCCTGCCTGCGCCCCTCCATCAGTCCACCAATCCTGTTAGCCTCGGTCCGGGCCGTTCTGACTCCACCCACCAGCATTAGCGCGAGCCCGCCCCACGCGTGCTAACCCCGCCTTCTCGCCTCCCCTGACCCCAGAGTCTTTCCGGCCCAGCCCGCTGCTCTGGGTTTCCCGCGACCCGGGAAGTACGCACCTGGAAGATTCCGAAATCCTCCTGCTGAGCATCCTGCCGCAGGCCGTGCTTCCAAGGAATACGGAAGCGCGTGCGGCTCTCGTCCACCCAGGCCACGCCCTCCAGGTGCCCCATGTCCAGCTGCGACACCAGCCAGGGCAGGATCCGTGGCTTTGGGGTTGCCATCGTTCCACCTGCGCGCACAGGGCAGTTCCTGGGCGCAGGCAGCCTCCAGGGCTCTGTTGGCCTGGGGTATCCACACCCAGACCTCTCTGTAATGGGCCATGGCGCAGGTCTTTCACCCATATTTTCCTGGGATACAAACAGGAAAGCTCCTCTTCCCATTCTCCCATCGTCCAGAGAGGTTCCCTAATCAGCGAGGACTCCCTCCCATAACCACTGTACACCGCCCCCCAGCGTCTTTCAGTGCCCACCGTCTACTCCCTCCCCCACATCAGTGAAAACAGGTAGCCCCACTTTCAGGGTAGAGCCCTCTCTCCCTAGTTATTTCAGTGCAGATGCTACTCACGCGTAAACCCCTACCTCCTGCACTCACTCAAGTGTAGACCCCCTTCCGCAGTTACCCCACAGAAGATCCCCCTACCCATTTCCAGCGTGGAACCTCCATCCACAATTCCCTCCCATCAGACAGCCTCCCTCCTCCAGGGCATTCCCCAACTTTTTAGAGTGAACTGCCTCCCATTTACAGAGTCCACCTTTCCCTCTCCTAGATCCCCTCAGTGTAGACGCTTCCTCTCTTCCTCCTCCCTCTCTACTTTTTCTACAGTTTGTCTATAGCCAACTCCAGGGCCGGCCATTGTAGCTCCGCCTGCTTCCCTTTTCGCTAGCAGCGCAGAACCAGCTTTTCTCCCGTTCCTCACTTCCGAGCGCCACCAACTACCTCCCCGGCGCTTCTGCGTTACCTACGGCGGAGAGGCGGGGCGCGCGGGGTGCTGGGGCCCACCCCTGTCTTTGAGATCCAGGTAGCTCTCAAACTCGAAGTTGAGCACCCCCCTTCCCGACGGCTGAGCTTTAGAGCGCTGGAGCCTTCTTTTCTATCGATTTCTTGAAATACAAGCAACTTTATCACTCTTTGGGTGACAGATTCCTGCCCCAAAGGGGCGGTCCGCTGAGTCTGGACCATCCCCTCCTTATGCCCTTCTTCGGCTTTCCGGACACAGGCATGCTGGGAACGTCATATGCAAATTAGCCGTGCATCCGGCGCCCCGCCCCTCCTACGTTGGGGCGGTTACAAAACCGGCTCAGTGCGCAGGCGCGGGAAAGTCGAACTACTAAAGAAAAGTTTGTACGAGTGAAGGAGCGGGTGGAGGAGGCGGCGGCGGCGGGGCCCCAGGTCAGGTGAGCAGAGTGTTGGCGAAGGCTGGGGAGAGGAGGGAAGAAGAGGGGTCCAGGAACCAGGATCTGGCACCCTAGTCCTGCTTCTCCGACATCCAAGCGTCCAGGGTCCCCAGGATTCCAGCCTGAGTCGGATAGTTGGAACTACACCTCCCAGCAGCCTGCGCGGCCAACAAGCACAACCAAAGGGGAATATTAGCCGTGAAGTTTGCTGGGATTAGTAGTTCCCCATGCTTCAAGAGCTTCAGAAGTTTGGCATATGCCTCCTTCACAATCCAGGAGTCGGCACCCCAAGACCCCTTCTCCTTCGAGGATCCATGAGTCTGGGGCTCTAGTCCTCTTCTCTCTCAGGCCAAGGAGTCCAGGACCCCAGCCCCCTTCTTCTTTAGACCTACGAATCTGGCCCCCCATCTCCCTCTTTTCCTAGGATCAAGGAGTCTTATTTCTCATTCCTTTTCTGTCTGGGGACTCAAGAGTCTGAGCCCTCAGGCCCCAGCTCTCCAAAGGACCCAGGAGTCCAGGCCCTCAGCACCTACCTTTCTTGGGATTCACAAGTCCTGGCCTCCAATCCTCCACTTTCTGCTGAACCCTAGAGTCCAGCCCCAAGCCCCCTCTCTCACAGGTGCCTCCATGGCAGGCTCAGAAGAGCTGGGGCCCCGAGATGACACGCTGAGGGTCCTGGCTGCCTTTCTAAGTCGGGGTGAAGCTGCCGGGTCCCCCGTTGCAACCCCACCCAGGTAAGAGGAGTTGCCTTTCTCCCCCATGTGCATGCATTTGGTGTGGGGCCCTCTCTGACTCTTGCTCCTGGTCTCAACCTGTCTCCTCTTTATATCTGGCTCTATTCTCTGTCCCTGGGATTGCAAAGAGAGGTTCTCAGAGGGGTGGGGGTGGGGCAGGAACTGTTTACAAGGGGTCTCTGGGATCACTGTCTGAGGTCCTCCTCCCCAGGAGCTCTGCCCGAGAGGAGCCCACAGACTTCCTGAGTCGCCTTCGAAGATGTCTTCCCTGCCCCCTGGGGCGAGGAGCAGTTCCCCCTGAGTCCCCTCGGCCTTGCTCCCTGCCCCTCCGACCCTGCTATGGTTCAGAGCCTGGTAAGAGATTTCCTTAGATCACTTGTAAAACTGGCAGGGCATAGGATAAGGTGCTAGTTTAAGATCACTCAGCTAGGAGGTATCTGTGTGGGGTCTTCAACACTAACCCTCACCATCCTGTTCTCTCCCCTCTGCTATCCCCAAGTTAGATTTCTATCTGTGTCAATTCTGTGGGTTGCCCTTTGGAAGGCATTTGGTCCCTTTCTACCAGGTTGTTATTTCTCTCTTTTCATACATGCTTTCCTGCCCCTAAGACTTTTGTAGCCATGAGTACTCCTAATAGAAAGGCAGGAGACCTACTTTTCAATCACAACTCCCTGGCTGTTTTGGTTGTATGACTCTGGGAAAAATTTTTTCTCTTCCCTGCTCCCCTGTTTTTCATTAGCAGAGTAGGAATTGGTGGGGAGGGCATTGGACTTGATCAAGAGTGACCAACAGGTTTCCTCTCGTATGTGAACCCGGATAGACTAAAAATGGCTGCTGGGACTGCTAGCTTGAAAAGCAGTTCACAGCTTGGGGAGGGGAGTGCTGTGATCAATTGGTGATGGCTGCAATGGCCCAGTGATAGGGTGATAATAGCAGGAATGTCTTGTGGTTGCCTTCCTTGGATGAGATAATCTTCGAGGTCCAGTTTGACTCTAACGTTCTAAGTCCAGTTTGGGGATATGATAAAGGGGAAAGTACAAGGGTTTTGGCTTTTCTTTTTGTTTTTTGTACCAAGTTTGCTTGCTTAGAAATCACTGCTGCATGGCAAGGTAGTTGGGAGATGGAGAGAATCCATAAATTCCTGATGTCTTGGAGACCCATGATTAACTCTTTTCACCCCAGGCCCAGCTACTCCAGACTTCTATGCCCTGGTGGCCCAGCGACTGGAACAGCTGGTCCAAGAGCAACTGAAATCTCCACCTAGCCCTGGTGAGGTGCAGGGGAGCCCTGGACAAGGACGGGGATAAGAGGGTAGTCAGGGTTCTGCCCCCAGTCAAATTCTTTTCTGCTTCCAGAATTACAGGGTCCCCCACCCACGGAGAAGGAAGCCCTGCTTCGGAGGCTGGTGGCTTTGCTGGAGGAGGAGGCGGAAGTCATCAACCAGAAGGTGATGGGCACCTGTTCTAGACCTTATCGAATATAGTAGTTTTGGGACGGTGGGCCACTGAGATCACAAGCTGGATCTGCGTTTTCTTTGGATGGTCAGAGGTGGAGAGGTGGGACAAGGCTTCAATAAAGGATTGAGTGACAGGGTTATGGTCAGTGTAGTACTATACTTTTGTTAGAGGGGCGTGGCCTAAATGCACAGGATGTGACCGTCAAAAACACGATCTAGGAGAGACTGGGCCAAATTGGGGAAGTAAAGGAATGAATGTGGGGGTGGGAGAGTGTCTAAAATGTCACTGATCATGGCAGGGACAAGTCTTAGAATGTAGGGAAAATAGACTGGCAGAGGAAGCATGGCTTATGACCTTGTCCTGGAACCTGGTTGGCTTGGGAGTTGGGGCAAAGTACATGGTTCTATAATATTAATTATATGGTAGAGGGCAAGGTTGTAGACCCTAGCCTTGCTCCAGAGTCTCCAAGTGGGGAAACCCAGTAGGGACATAGAGCTTGGCCCTGATTGGCTGTTGAGGTCACAGCAGGGGCGTGGCTTAGAGGCTCAGGTTCTAGGCTGCTGTCCTAGGAGTAGTTTGGCCGAGACCATAGAGTCTGGCTTGTGATTGGCTGATGTGATGGCTTTAGAGGTTTAGTATTTAGAGTTGCCTTGAATGGGGAAACCACGCCTCCAAGTCACCTATTGGCTGACACGGACCTTGCCTCTCTTCCCCTCCCCGCCCCACAGCTGGCCTCTGACCCCGCCCTGCGCAACAAACTGGTCCGCCTGTCCACTGGCTCTTTCGCCCGCCTAGTGGAGCTGTTTTCCAGTCGCCAGGGCAGCTCTCATCCAAGTCGCGCATGTCCTGGGCCTCCGCCACCTTCCCCAGAGCCCCTGGCCCGCCTGGCTCTGGCCATGGAGCTGAGCCGGCGCGTGGCCGGGCTGGGGGGCACCCTGGCAGGACTCAGCGTGGAGCACGTGCACAGCTTCGCGCCTTGGATCCAGGCCCACGGGGGCTGGGTGAGCCTCAGAAGCCTCTCCGGGCCTCACTTAATCCAACCGTGATATGATGGACGGGGGCTGGGGGCTTCTTAGGTTGCCTTTCAGACCTCAGGTGTTGTCCCAGCTCTGCTGTCCATTCGTGCTGTGTTGAGCACCCACTGTACACCAGGCACTGCAGCGATGAGTGCAGACACTGTGCCTGGCTTAAATCACTGGTATTCACTAACAATTGTAAGATGAGTGTAGAAGACAGTGGTAGCGCTACCTCAAAGGGTTGTCCCTGCCCCTCTAGTGATGCCTGCCGGGAGGATGTCCTTCCCCGGGAACCCCCTGCTTCGCTTCCTGTGCTCCTTCTGCTCTGGTATCCCCCTCAGTGAGGCCTTCCCTGGTCCCCATTTACAGTCACAGCCACCTCCACACCTCCCACCCACTGCCTTGCTTTACTTTCCCTTCTGTAGCACTCTGCGCCTTCTAACAGATGGCAGCATGGCCTTGTTTTACTTATTTTCTTATTTGTTTTTGTTTGTTGGTTTCTGCTGACTCTTAATGTATTAGAAGACTAAGGAGTTGGCCGGGAGTGGTGGCTCCCGCCTGTAATCCTAGCACTCTGGGAGGCCGAGGTGGGTGGATTGCTCGAGGTCAGGAGTTCAAAACCAGCCTGAGCGAGACCCTGTCTCTACTAAAAATAGAAAGAAATTAATTGACCAACTAAAAATATACATACAAAAAATTTAGCCGGGCATGGTGGCCCATGCCTGTATTCCCAGCTACTCGGAGGCTGAGGCAGGAGGATCACTTGAGCCCAGGAGATTGAGGTTGCTGTGAGCTAGGCTGATGCCACGGCACTCACTCTAGCCTGGGCAACAAAGTGAGACTCTGTCTCTAAAAAATTAAAAAAATTGAAAAATAAATTAAAAAAAAAAAAAGAAGACCAAGGAGTCTTCCCTTCTTTTTACTCACTACTTTATCTCCACTGCCAGTCGCAGGCTTGGGGTGGGCTCCAGCGTGCTGGCTGTGTGGCTTGGCTGCTGTCCCCATCTCCCTGAGCACCACTTGTCACTCTAGTCCAATAGGCACCATCTCACCTGCCTCCTGGGTGGCCCTGGGATGCAGTGTGTGGACACATGCCAGGAATGTAACCAGGGCTACCCTGGCAGGCGCTGGCTGGGTGTGTTTGAGGAGGCCAGTGGGGGCTGGAGCACTGTGAGCCAGCCGGAATGAGAGGAGAAATGGCCGTGGCATGTAGGGCCTCATGGCCATCATGAGAACTTGGACTTTAAGTCGACCAAGGTCTCTAAGCAGCAGAGGGACTTGAACTGATTTAGGTGTTAACAGGCGCCTCCTGGCGGCTGTGTGGGGAGCAGACAGTGGGAGCCAGGGCGGAAATAGGGAGCTCAGGGAGATCGGAGTGAATCAGACCAACGTGGGGGGTCAGTAGAGGATTCTGGATTTAATTTCTAGGTAAAGGCCAGGTGTGGTGGCTCACGCCTGTAATCCTAGTACTCTGGGAGGCTGAGGCAAGAGGATCACTTAACCTCTGGAGATCAAGACCAGCCTGAGCAAGAACAACACCCTGTCTCTACTAAACATAGAAAAAGTTAGCCAGGTATGGTGGTACATGCCTGTAGTCCCAGCTACTAAGGAGGCTGAGGCAGGAGGATCGCTTGAGCCCAGGAGTTTGAGGTTGCTGTGAGCTATGCTGACACCAACCACTGCACTCTAGCCTGAGCTACAAAGTGAGACTCTGTCTAAAAAAAAAAAAAAAAGACGCTGGCTTGAGCAGTTGCAGGGCTACATCTGAGGTCCCTGAGATGGGAAAGAAGGAGGGCTTTGGGGTAGGGGGGGATTGTGGGGGTAGCAAGTTTGAGGAAGTCAGAGATGATCAGACGTGGTCCAGTTAAGAGGGAGATGCTAGCTGGGTTTGGTGGCTAAAGCCTGTAATCCTAACACTTCGGGAGGCTGAGGCAGAAGGATTGCTTGAGGCCTGGAGTTCAAGATGAGCCTGGGCAATAGTAAGACCCCATCTCTACAAAATATAGAAAATTAGCCTCGTGTGGTGCGCACCTGTAGTCCCAGCTGCCTGAGAGGCTGAGGCAAGAGGATCGCTTAAGCCCAGAAGTTTAAAGTCACTGTGAGCTAGGCTGATATTGCACTCTAGCCTGGGCAATAGAGACCTTGTTTCAAAAAATTTTTTAGAAAGGAGGGAGATGCCTTTCAGACCTCAAAGCAAATGTTGAGGGGACCAGATGGTATGAGCTCAGCAGAGAAGCTCATTTATTTATTTATTTATTTTGAGACAGAGTCTCGCTTTGTTGCCTAGGCTAGAGTGAGTGCCATGGCGTCAGCCTAGCTCACAGCAACCTCAATCTCCTGGCTCAAGCAATCCTTCTGCCTCAGCCTCCCAAGTAGCTGGGACTACAGGCATGCGCCACCATGCCTGGCTAATTTTTATATATATATATATTAGTTGGCCAATTAATTTCTTTCTATATATAGTAGAGATGGGGTCTCACTCTTGCTCAGGCTGGTTTCGAACTCCTGACCTCGAGCAATCCGCCCGCCTCGGCCTCCCAGAGAGCTAGGATTACAGGCGTGAGCCACCATGCCCGGCCCAGAGAAGCTCATTTATTTGTAAAATTGTTATTTTTAATAGGAGTGATAACAGGTCAGCTGGGGGCAGTATTCCCAGGAGGCCTCGTCCTTGGTGACAATGTCAACGGAATGATCTCATTTAAACCTCACAACGGCCTTGTGGGGTTCTGTTATTATCCTCCTCTTCTGGGGGCTGAGAGGGAAAATCCTGGAATCGAGATTTGGACACAAAGCCGTGACTCTTTATCATTAAAATGGCAGGGCTCAAAAAAAAAAAAAAATGGCAGGGCTCTGTTCCCTGTTCCTGAGTCTTTGTCCCCCATTCTCCATTCTCTCAATCTCTGTCCTCCCTCTTCCAGTGCTCTGATCCCCTGCGCCCCCTCCCCCCCCTGTCTTTCTCCTCCAATTCCTGTCCCCTTCTAATGTGGGTCTCTGTCCCCTTCTCTAGGTGTCGGTACCCCTCCCTCCTCTGGTTCTTTGCCATCCCCTGTCTCCGATGTCCCTGGGCCAATGGGAGCATGGCTGTGGGTAGAAGACACCTGTCCTGCTCACAGAGCTCTGCCACTTTTCCCCTCCAGGAGGGCATCCTGGCCGTTTCGCCCGTGGACTTGAACTTACCGTTGGACTGAGATCTTCCTCAGAAGCTGCTACAAGATCGGACCTCATGTCCCTGCCCTCTTGTGTGCCTTCTTGTTCCCCTCAGGGCTGGGGGTGGGGGAGGGTGGCTGCCCTACCCTTTTTGTTTTTACCAAAAAGAAGTTGTTTAAAATTTTTCATATTAAAAACTTTTGAAAGGATTTAATTGTTTGTTCTTTCACTCAAGAACTTAAGTTGTAAGTAGAGGAGATTTGGTTCAGAGATGTCTGTGGCTTATAAATTGAGGAAAGAACAAGTTCATTCATTTGAGAGATATTTATTTGGAATCCTAAGAAGAGCCTGTCACCTGGATATATAACATATTTGAAGATAACTGTAAATATGATTCCAGAAAATTGTTTTTTCTCCTGTTGCACAATTTGATTATTCCTGCTAATCCTGCATTGATGAGCCATGGAGTCTTTTCAGCCAGTTCCAGAATAAAGTTACAGTCTTTCTTCACAGGCATCTGGGACACCACCCTCTTCTTGTTTTTCTCCTCCCACTGCTACTTCCAAGGCTTTTTTGCTGCTTTCTCCTCATCTTCCTGTAGACTAGTGGTCTGTCCCTAATTTAGGGCCATATCTCTGTTCACAGCATAATGTGGTTTGTTTGTTTGTTTGTTTGTTTGAGACAGTCTCACTCTGTTGCTCGGGCTAGCGTGCTTGCCATGGCGTCAGCCTAGCTCACAGCACCCTCAAACTCCTGGGCTCGAGTGATCCTTCTGCCTCAGCCTCCCGGGTAGCTGGGACTACAGGCATGCGCCACCATGCCCGGCTAATTTTTTATATATATATATCAGTTGGCCAATTAATTTCTTTCTATTTATAGTAGAGACGGGGTCTCGCTCTTGCTCAGGCTGGTTTTAAACTCCTGACCTTGAGCAATCTGCCCGCCTCGGCCTCCCAAGAGCTAGGATTACAGGCGTGAGCCACAGCGCCCGGCCCTAATTGCTATTTTTTTAGTAGAGTCAGGGTCTCACACTTCTGGTCTCCAACTCCTGAGCTCAAACTGTGAGTCTACCTTGGCCTCCCAGAGTGCTAGGATTACAGGCCTGAGCCATCACGCCCGGCCTGTTTATTGATTGATTGATTGAGACAGAGTCTTTTTTTCCCCCCCTGTTGGCCAGGCTAGAGTGCCATGGTGTCAGCTTAGCTCACAGCAACCTCATTTGGGCTCACTTGGGCTCAAGTGATCCTCCTGCCTCAGCCTTCCGAGTAGCTGGGACTACCAGCATGTCCCCAGCTAATTTTTTCTATATAATTTTAGTTGATCAATTAATTTCTTTCTATATTTAGTAGAGACCAGGTCTGGCTCTTGCTCAGGCTGGTTTCAAACTCCTAACCTTGAGCTATCCTCCCACCTCAGCCTCCCAGAGGGCTAGAATTACAGGCCTGAGCCACCAGCCTGGCCCTATTTGTTTGTTTGGTTTTTTTTTGTTTTGAGACAGAGTCTCACTTTGTCGCCCAGGCTAGAGTGAGTGCCGTGGCGTCAGCCTAGCTCACGGCAACCTCAAACTCCTGGGCTCAACAATCCTACTGCCTCAGCCTCCCTAGTAGCTGGGACTACAGGCATGCGCCACCATGCCCGGCTAATTTTTTCTATATATATTAGTTGCTATTAATTCTTTCTATTTATAGTAGAGACGGGTCTCGCTCTTGCTCAGGCTGTGTTCGAACTCCTGACCTCGAGCAATCCACCCACCTTGGCCTCCCAGAGTGCTAGGATTACAGGCACGAGCTACCATACCAGGCCTATTTGTTTGTTTTTAAGAGACTAGGTCTTTCTACTATAAATAGAAAGAAATTAGCCAAACAACTAAAAACAGAAAAAAATTAGCCAGGCATGGTGGCACATGCCTGTAGTCCCAGCTACTAAGGAGGCTGAGGCAGGAGGTTCGCTTGAGCCCAAGAGTTTGAGGCTGATGCCACGGCACTCTAGTCTGGGCAACACAGTGAGACTTTGTCTCAAATTAAAAAAAAACGAAAAAAAGAAGAGACTAGGTCTTGCTCTGTCACCCACGCTGGAGGGCAGTGGTGTTATCACAGCTCACTGCAACCTTGAACTCCTGAACTCAAAAGATCCTCTGGCCTCAGCCTCCCAAGTAGATGGGAGGACTACAGGCACGCAACTACCAAACACAGATAATTATTTTTTTTTTTAGAGACCGGGTCTCACTATGTTGCCCAAGCTGGTCTTGAACTCCTGAGCTCTAGCATTCCTCCTGCTTTGTTCTCACAAAGTTCTAGGATTACAAGTGTGAGCCACTGCACCTAGCCTGGAATAATGTTTATAAATGCTTACAATGAATCAAACGTACAGGATCACAAAAAGAAACCAATTGCAGTTGATCCTCATTATTTGCAGTTTCTGTACTTGGGAATGCACCTATTTGTTGAAATTTATTTGTAACCCCAAAATCAATACAATGCTTTCACAGTCCTTCCGGGGAATGCTTATACACAGAGCTGCAAAAAAAAACTGAGTTTCCTGATGTGCAGCTGAGGTGCTCTTGTGTCAGTTCTCATACAATAAACAAATGTCCTTTTCTTGGTCTATTGAGTGCCACATTTAAAAAATTTTTTAGCTTTTGGTTGGTGATTTCACTGTTCAAATGGCCCCCAAGCACAGAGCTGAAATGCCGGCAAGTGTTCCTACGCACAAGAAGGTACGTATGATGTGCCCTGTGCATTGGGGACGGACTGTATGACTCCATTTATGTGACAATCTGAACAAGAAAAGTGCTTCAGGCCGGGCGAGGTGCTCACGCCTGTAATCCTAACATTGTGGGAGGCTGAGGCGGGCGGATTGCTCAAGGTCAGGAGTTCGAAACCAGCCTGAGCAAGAGCGAGACCCCGTCTCTACTACAAATAGAAAGAAATTAACTGGCCAACTAATATATATAGAAAAAATGAGCCAGGCATGGTGGCGCATGCCTGTAGTCCCAGCTACTTGGGAGGCTGAGGCAGGAGGATCGCTTGAGCCCAGGAGATTGAGGTTGCTGTGAGGGAGGCTGACACCACGACACTCACTCTAGCCTGGGCAACAAAGTGGGACTCTGTCTCAAAAAAAAAAAACGTGCTTCAGAGGTTGAGGGGAGGTATCAAGTGGAAAGAGTCATGAGAGAACTTTTTAGGGTGATACACTCTATGAGTTGAGTCTGATGGTGGTTACACAGGTATATATGTACCAATCTCATCAAATTACACTTAATTGTGTGCATATTGTCATATGTAAATTATATATATATGTATTTTTTTTTTTGAGGCAGAGTCTCACTTTGTTTCCTTAGTGCTAGGATTATAGGTGTGAGCTACCGAGCCCAGCCTGTAAATTATATTTTTAATAAAGTGGGTTTAAAAAAAATTAAAAACGATGTTTTGTTAGACTTGCTGGGATCAACACCCAGCTCAGCCACTTACTCATTGTGTAACCCTGGCCAAGTCACTTTACCTCTCTGTGCCTCAATCTACTCATCTGTGAAATGGAAGTGAAAATAGTATGTTCAGCAGTAGGTTGCTTGTGGGGGGAATTAAATGTGGTAATTGATTTAAAACTCTTAGAAGAGTGGCTGGCACCTAACAAGCAGTCAGCATGAGCTAAATCGGCCACAGATACAGAACTTGTCTGAAGCTAAGGAAAAGTTAGTGAGAAGAGGGGAAGGGCCTATATAATGGCACAAAAGTGTGGTGGTCCCAGAGAACCAGGTAGGGATCATAAAGCATCAGTGATGAGACAACAAACACTTGGCTGAGGGGCTCGGACTTTGTCCTGAGCGTACGGGGAAGCCACAGGAAGGCTCTGAGCAGAGAAGGGGCCAGGTCAGCTCTGAGGACCCACAGGGTGGGGGACTGCAGGGGAAGACTGGAGGCTTAGAGGTGGGGAGGGAGTCTGGGCTGCTGGTTCAGGAGGGACAGGTCAGGGGACTGACAGGCGGTGGGAGGGGAGCCCCAATGGTCTGGTTGGTGACTGGGTGGGAGGTGGGACTGTACCAACTTGGAGACCCAGAAGAAGATAGGATGCCAGGGCTGGTGGGTGTGATGGACCTGGGGGACAGAGAGGAGGGGCGGGCAGAGAACTAATAAAGCAGTTATACTGGAAATCCTACACTATTAGGAGTTTGCCAGGAAGGAAGTATGCCAAGGAACACAGCCTGTGCAGAGGCCAGGGGACAACAGAGCGCGCTCATTCAGGGACTGCAGAGAGGTTTGAACTGAGGACAGAGTGCGAAAGGAGAAAGAAGAGGCAGGGTCCACAAAGTCCGCCTTTTGCATTCATCTTCGTTCAACTGGGATCTTCCTGTAGATCACGGAAAGCTTCCTGGAAGTGGCTGCCTTTAAACTGCGCCCAGACGGACATATAAGATTAAGCCAGACAAAGAGGGGTGGGCCTTCCGGCAGGGGAAGGGACTTCACAAAAGCCAGGTGGCCTGAGATCTAGATTGATGGTTTGTTTGTTTTCTTTTTGAGACAGAGTCTCATTCTGTTACCCAGGCTAGAGTGAGTGCCTTGGGGTCAGCCTAGCTCACAGCAACCTCAAACTCCTGGGCTCAAGCGATCCTCCTGCTTCAGCCTCCTGAGTAGCTGGGACTACAGGCATGCGCCACCATGCCTGGCTGAATGTTTTTTATATATTAAGTTGCCAATTTAATTCTTTCTATTTATAGTAGAGACGGGGGTCTCACTCTTGCTCAGGCTGGTTTCGAACTCCTGACCTCGAGCGATCCGCCTGCCTCGGCCTCCCAGAGTGCTAGGATTACAGGGATTACAGGCGTGAGCCACAGCACCCGGCGACCAATTGATGGGTTTTGAAAACTTGGAGGCCGGGGGCGGTGGCTCACGCCTGTAATCCTAGCACTCTGGGAGGCCGAGGAGGGAGGATCGCTCAACGTCAGGAGTTCTGAAAACAGCCTGAGGGAGACGCTGTCTCTACTAAAAATAGAAAGAAATTAATTGGCCAACTAAAAATATTTAAAAAAAAATTATTCGGGCATGGTGGCGCATGCCTGTAGTCGCGGCTACTCAGGAGGCTAAGGCAGGAGGATCGCTTGAGGCCAGGAGTTTGAGGTTGCTGTGAGCTAGGCTGACGCCACGGCACTCCGGCCCGGGCAACAGAGTGAGAGTGTCTCAAAAAAGTCTCTACTATAAAATAGAAAGAAATTAATTGGCCAACTAATATATATACAAAAAATTAGCCGGGCATGGTGGCGAATACCTGTAGTCCCAGCTACTCGGGAGGCTGAGGCAGGAGGATTGCTTGAGCCAGGAGTTTGAGGTTGCTGTGAGCTAGGCTGACGCCACGGCACTCACTCTAGCCTGGGCAACAAAGCGAGACTCTGTCTCAAAAAAAAAAAAAAAAAATTTAAATTAAAAAAAATAAAAAACTTGGAACAGTTGTACACAGGGCTGGGGATTAAATGTATTGACGGCTGATTCCTACTCCTGACTTGTTTCAGGACCCCAGATAAGCCCGCCCTCTCTCTGAGCCTCTCACTGCTTCAGTTTTTCCCCCAGGTAAATGGGCACAGGCTCCCTTGTTCTTCCAAACTCCCCTCCGAGGCCGGGAGAATCCACCGAAGGGACGAGGAGCGCTAGTTCCTTTGAGCCAATCGCTGGTTCCTAAAGCCCTGCGTTCCTGCAACCCGTGGGCCAATTGCCGCGTTCTCCTTGAGGCCAGCCGCTTGGCGGGGGCTGGCCAAAGGCCTAGTGACGTCACGTTTTGGCTAAACCAATAGCAGCGATTAAAAGGCGGGTCGTTTTGGTGATGGACAGCTCTGTTTCAAGACGTCCGCTTAGCGCGGGGCCCGCCGGGAAGCTTTGAGGCGGTGCTGGAGGAAAGGGGCGGGCACTCCTGGTTGATTTTACCCAATCATCAGTGGCGCTTTTTGCAATAGACGGGCAGTTGTCCCCATCCTGGTCGACTTGAGGGGGCGGGACCCTGAACACCAGCCTGGGCAAACCTCTGACCTTTGACGGGCGTCTTCTTGAGCCAATTGCTAGACGGTATTCTCAGACGTGCCGCCTCCACTACCAATGAAATCTTCTGGCGGGGTTGCGGTAGGCGGGCCGTGGACACTCCGCTATAAAGGGGTCCGGGGGAGTGAGGAGAAAGGGGGGTCTGGACGGCCGGAGGAGGAGTAGGTGCGGGTGAAGATGGCGGCAGCCGAGCCCGCGAACTGCATCATGGAGGTAAGTGTCTGGAGCCCCTACGGGGTCGGGGGCCGGCTTCGGGGTCGGTGTTTTATGTCTCCGTCGTGGGGGAAGGGCTCTAAGTCGGCGAATTAGGGCTGATGGCCCCCAGCCACACGGAGGGGGCGCCGCACGCTCCGGATCCAGGGATATCGTTTGAGGTGGGGGCTCCCTAGCTTTCGGGGGCCTTCGGCATCCGGCCTAGCTGAAGGTGTTTCATCCCTCCTCTTACGTAGATGAGGGCTGGGGGCGCTTCCGGCCAGGCCCCCACGTGGCCACGGCGCGGTGGGTGGGGAGGGGGTGTGCCGAGCCCGGTGGCCCGGCGGGCTCCACGTGCCGGACAAAGGCCCCGCCCCCGACTGGGGGATCGCCGCCTGGCGGTGGGGGGGGCTCCGACCCTCCCCCTGAAGGCCCCAGCTCTGTTCCCGGGGATCCGGGACACACCGGGTGGAATTTCCCTGGGGCCCTCCACGATGAAGAGTGTCTTGGGAGGGGCAGTGCTTCTCAATCCTTCACAACCCGCTTCTAAGGTCCCGGGGGATCTGCTGGGGCATCGGTCTAGGCTCTGTGCACTCTGGGTTTGGGAGTGGAGGAGGATGAAGAATTGGTCTTCCACCACCCTTTCCTGTCCTTGAATTCTCCCCACCCCCGCCCGGGGCTCTAGGAGTTGCGGGGGGATGGGGCATGCCCCTGTGACCTCCCTTTGGGTGGTGGTGGGTCATCTAGATGGAGGAGATCCTTCCCAATAAGGCGCCGTGCACCCCCTTGTGGCCATTTCTGGATGTGTGGGAGGGACATCTTTTTCATGGGGCGTGTCCCTAAGCCCACCTCCCTGTTGGATCTCTCCCAGGCCGGCGGAGGGAGGGCATGTCTGCTGGGAAGGAGTTGTGATGGGATGTGCTCAGGCTGTGGCCTTTACTGTCCAGTGGAGCCTTTTCTCTCTCGGGCCTTTGTGAGGATGAGAGATGACCTCCCCTCTCTGCAGCTCTGTGGGGAGGGGGGTTCTGAGCCTGGGAGTCTGAAATCGTTCGCAGTGAGGTTTGGTTCTTGTGCAGCCGTGTAGGGGAGGTTTTCGGTTTTGCGTTTCACGCCCTCTCGGGCTGGCTTGTCTGGTGGTGGCATCAGTGGTACTGAGAAATGGGTCCCAGTGGGAAATCCCCTCCCCAGCCGCCCTCCGTACAGGCGTCCTCACTGGCTTGGGGCAATTGCGGGGAGGGTGCTTGGAGCCCAGTGGGTCATTGCCTGAGACTTTGCTCTTCTTGGAGCCTTGGAAAGTGGTCACATCTAGAAGAGATGTAATCGGATGTGGCCTCTGTCCTTCCACCCCTTACCCGGTAACGTTGTCTGGAGGGGGTGGGCAGTTCCCAAGATGCATGCCACTGGGGGCAGAGTGACCCCACACACACACACACACACCACTCTCTTGGCTCTTAGGGTGGAGGAAACATCTTCCCCAGAGGCTGCCTCAGACTTGGCCTCACACCTGGGGGTCTTCAGGGCCTGAGATGGGTGTCCGAATGGGGGCCATGGGCTCTGACTCACCAAGCCTCATTCTGGACCCCTCACTTTCTTAAGAGGGTCCAGAAACTGGCCATCCTCCCTGGGCCTCTAGCTTCCTGGATAGAGGGTGATAAGTGCTGAGGTTGGTTCCATCTCGTTTTGTTTGGGGCTCCTGAGTGCAGGTCAGGAGCCAGGGGCTGTGGTACTGGCTCTGGTGGGAGTGCCTGTGGACCACTCCTCTTTTCTGAAATCCCCTCAGATGAGAGACTGGTTTGCAGAACTGGCAGATGCCCTGGGGGCATACCCTGCCAGGCCCTCCCTCATGGATAGGGTGTGTGTTAGGAAGTGTCACCTAATCTGGGGGGATTAGGTGATGAGGGGGAGCGACAGCTGGCGGTGCCTGTGTGCCCGGCCAGTGCCAGTTCCTCTGGCCTGGATGGGGGAGGTGTGTGTGGTCAGCTGCCTGGCCAGAGTAGGGCAGCGTGGGGGCTGGCCACCATCTCTCCAGCTACAGCTGAGTTAGGAGACCCCCTTGTCTCCCCAACTCCTCCCCTCCCTTTCTCAAGCAGCCCTGCCTCATCACCTGTCTCCTCTGCCCCCACTCCCCACCAAGGAAAAGGAAAACTGCTGGAAACCCACTGCCCCAAGAGCTCAGGCCCCACCGCCCGGCCCTCCCCAGCCACTCCCATTAGCTAATCCTTTCTCCCTGTTACTCTCTCCTAGAATTTTGTAGCCACCTTGGCTAATGGGATGAGCCTCCAGCCGCCTCTTGAAGAAGTAAATATCCTTTTGTGAGACCCCTCCCAACCCCCACCTCCACCCACATAAATATATCTTGCCACACATCTGGCCCTTTCTAGAAGTCTAACCATGTCCCTCTTGCTTCAAACCAGTTTACCCCATGCTGCAAAACACTCATTACAAATCCCTTCAGGTCCACGGCCCCCATCTGGCCTCCCCAGTGTCTACTTCCTTAACTCCGTCTCCAGCCCCCTTTGCCCTGCCCTGTGTCTGCCCCAGTTCTGCTTCCCCTCCCCTCCCCAGCTGTGGGCTGAGCTAGAGACGGGGGCAGAGAGACTGGAGAGATGGTAGGCGTGGCTGAGGTATCGGGGTGCTTCCCTGGATGGTACTTTGGGGGGGTCCTGGAAGTGGAAAATGGGGTTAGGTTTTGGGGCTCCTGGGGGAGGCAAGATGGCAGGTGGGGGCTGTAGGCTTGTCATGTTATGCTTTGGGGGGATCTGTACTACTCTTCAGGGATAAAGTAGGGACCTGAAGGCTTAAGAGGCTGTGGGGAGCCGCCAAATTTGACCCATGCTCCCATCGGCCCCCTCCCAGGTTTCCTGCGGCCAGGCAGAAAGCAGTGAGAAACCCAATGCCGAGGACATGACGTCCAAAGATTACTACTTTGACTCCTACGCCCACTTTGGCATCCACGAGGTAAGTGTGGATGGTTCCCAAGGCCCGTGAATCTAGGGGTTAAATGTTGGGGAGGGGGTGGAACTTAAGTCCCTACGCATGCGCATGCGCACTGCTTTCCCTGGCAGCAGGCTTTCCTTCTGCCATGCACACCCGGGGTCACTTCTCCCAGCCGTTGCCTTGGAGACCGAGGTTAGCCTGGTGCTTTGGGGGGGCCCCCTCGCTGAAGGCTGCGGTGGGATTGCGCTTGCGCACCTGAGACCTCAGCCCGCAGCCAGGCGGGGCCTGCTGGTCTCTGCCGCCCTCTAGCGACCAGCGCTGGGACTGTGTCCCAGCTTGCTCTTGCCCTGACAGCTTCTGGACCCTTTTGACTGAGGAAAGTGAGGTCCCAGAATGCAGCTGGGGTGGCATTCTAAGGAATGTTTTGTTTCCCTGAGGCCTTTTTCATAAAATTGCGGTTAAAAGTGTACAGTTCAGTGGCATTAAGTCACTGAGGACTTTTAAAAGCCAAGAATTAACAGGGCTTCAGTGGCAATGGTAGAATCTGGCTCAGATGGGAATTTAGTCCATCAAATCTGATTTTACAGCTAGAGAAATCGAGGTGCATGGAAGGGAAGTGGGAGGGCCGAGCTGTGGTCCTCCAAACCGTCTGTGTGTTGGAGGCCAGGGCACCTGTTTTTCAGCGGGGACTGTGGCCCCTCTCATGGTGCCTTGCGCCTCTGTCCCCAGGAGATGCTGAAGGATGAGGTGCGTACCCTCACGTACCGTAACTCCATGTTCCACAACCGGCACCTCTTCAAAGACAAGGTGGTGCTGGACGTGGGCTCGGGCACGGGGATCCTGTGCATGTTCGCTGCCAAGGCCGGGGCCCGTAAGGTCATCGGGGTGAGTCCTGGGTGGCCAGGTGGGCCTGAGCCTGGAGGGTAGAGAGGGGACTGGGCGGAGGAGGGTGGCCGCTGAGGACGAGACTGGGGAGGTCTCACTCTCCTTTCTTCCTGGGCCCTCAGATCGAGTGTTCCAGTATTTCTGATTACGCGGTGAAGATCGTCAAAGCCAACAAGTTAGACCACGGTGAGCCCAGAAAGAGAATGGGTTTGTGGAAATGGAGTGGGCGATTCCCAGCTTCCCCAGGACCTGTGGCAAGGGAGTTGGGGGGGGGGACAGGGGACACTGATGGACCAGCTGTGATCCAGCTGTGCCTCCCCCATGGTCTTCTGGGCTGTTGGCAGCCTGAGAATCCAAGTGTCAGAAGTCACAAGTTTAAGGCTTCAGTCTTAAAATTAGGGCAAGAAGCGCTCTCTCATTTCTTGAATGAATAATAGTCATGTGGGTGACTGACGAGGGCCCGCAGTGAGAAGTCTCCCATCCGCCTCTCAGCTGCTCTCCTCTGCGTTTAGCCAGCACCACCTTCCAGAGAACTCAGTACCTACAAGCCCGTATATATGTATAAGTTTTTACATTCACGTGGCTGATTTTTTTGCCGATAGCATTTCACACAAGTCTCTTGCCCTTTGCTTTTTTCACCTGCTTGCCATGTAGTTAAACACCTTTCCAGATTTTGAGGCATCATGATATTTTTGATGACTGCCATCACGTGTACACACCGCGGCTTTTTTAGCCAGTCTCCTGCTAATGGACATTTAAGCCGCTCTGAAATTTTCTTCCACCCTCCCCCAACCCTGCACATAATGTCATTTGACACACAAACTAGAATATCTGCAAGGTGAATTTGTAAAAGTGGATTGATTGCTCAGGTCAAAAACTCGAGTTAGTAAGTTTGACAGCTGTTGTCAAATTGCCCTTGAGTTCCCACCAGCAAGGTGGAAGAAGGTAGAGGACTTGGGAAGGTGGTAGGTTTTCCAGATGTATGGCCTTCTGGGAACTGCAGTGATTATTTTTAAGAGACTGTTGTAATAAATCCACAAATGCTCATTACTCAGCTTTATGAAATCTCCCCATTTGAAGCAAATTCCAACTGTCATGTAATTTCCCCTGTAAATCCCTCTGTGTGCATCTTACTTGTTAGATATTTTGAGAATGTGACCGTGCTGTTACATGTTACATCAAACCTACCCCAGTGATGCCCAGTCCACATAAAATTTCTGCTCCTGCCTCAAAAGTGTCCAGAGGGATATATGAATTTGAAAATAGAGTTAAGAGGGTGGAGCTTCAGCTCACAGAGTGCTGTGAAGACACCCAAATCTGGCCCCGCCCTTGCTTTCAAGGACCAGGGTTGGCCAGGTGTGGCGGCCAGGTGTGATTACACCTGTAATCCCAACACTCTGGGAGGCCAAGGCGGGCGGATCGTTTGAGCTCAGGAGTTCGAAACCAGCCTGAGCAAGAGTAAGACCCCGTCTCTACTAAAAGAAATAGAAATTAGCTGGACAATTAAAAATATATAGAAAAAAATTAGCAGGGCATGGTGGCACATGCCTATAGTCCCAGCTACTTAGGAGGCCTAGGCAGGAGGATCGCTTAAGCCCAGGAATTTGTGGTTGCTGTGAGCTAGGCTAATGCCACGGCACTCACTCTAGCCTGGGCAACAGAGTGAGACTCTGTCCCCCCCCCCAAAAAAAAAAGACCAGGGCTGCGGCAAGTGGGGCCCCAGGCTGCTGACCTCCCAGGGTTGATGGTGGCTGCCTCTGTCCGCCCGCAGTGGTGACCATCATCAAGGGGAAGGTGGAGGAGGTGGAGCTCCCGGTGGAGAAGGTGGACATCATCATCAGCGAGTGGATGGGCTACTGCCTCTTCTACGAGTCCATGCTCAACACCGTGCTGTACGCCCGAGACAAGTGGCTGGTGAGGGCCCTGGCAGGGCGGGCGGCTGCAGATCACGCAGGCTGAGGCCTGGTGGCTGTGTGTTGAGTGTGTTGTCTGTCAAGGTCCAGACAAAATGAGCCATGTTAGGTACTTCCCACAGAGAGGACTTAACACGGGGGGTTTACTACACAGGTACTGGGAGGCTGACAGCCCAAAGTGGGTATGACAGGTCCTGGAAGCCAAGCAGTGACAAGGAGATGAGGAGAAGACCATAGCTGGGCAAAGGGATAGGATGGTCCCAGGGGCTCATCTCTGAGCAGGCCACCCAGGGGGAGAGGTGATTGAGACCTGGTGAAGGATAGGAAGGAGCTGCAATGGATCTGGGGAGAAGAAAGTTCTGGGTAGAGAAGACAGCCAGTGCAAAGGTCCTGAGGCAGAAATGCACGTGCTGTATGTGGAGCATCAGGGAGGCCAGGGTGGAGTCTAGGGTCTGGGATAGCCAAGGAGGTGAGGGCTGGTTGGGCATGTACAGAGCTTGTAGGGCTCTATGAGCCCCCATGAGGCTTTGCTCTCCCTCTCAGAGGAGCTAGGGAGAGTCTGACTTAGGTGCCCCTGAGCGCCCTCTGCGGGCTGTGTGGGGAATAGACAAGGGGATGCAGGCAGAAGCCTGGACCATTGCGGAGTCCAGGTGGGAGATTACCTGGGCTTAGATGAGGGCGGGAGCAGAGTGGGCAGAAAGAGGCCAGGTTCGGGGGGGGGGGGGCAGTGTTGCCAAGGTCTTGATGCCCTTGCCCTCTGCAGGCGCCTGACGGCCTCATCTTCCCAGACCGAGCCACACTGTATGTGACAGCCATCGAGGACCGGCAGTACAAAGACTACAAGATCCACTGTGAGCGCGCACCTGGGGAGCTGCGGGTGGGGCCCCGCCCGGCTGCTGCAGGCTCACCTGCCCCCTCCTGCCTCTCCAGGGTGGGAGAACGTGTACGGCTTTGACATGTCTTGCATCAAAGACGTGGCCATCAAGGAGCCCCTGGTGGACGTGGTGGACCCCAAGCAACTGGTCACCAATGCCTGCCTCATAAAGGTGAGGGCCTGGGCCTGGGCCTGGCCAGGGCACCCCCAGGGCTGGAACCAAAGGGCCATCCCCTCACCACAGGGCCCAGAGTGTTGGAAACTGACATGTCACCTAGAGGTGGCGCTAGAGGCCCATAGCAGGCACTTTGTCCTTAAGAATCTTTTCAAGCTCTGCTTGGCCTTGGGCTCTGGGACACAGCAGTGAGCAAGACAGCAGTGAGCAAGACGGGCTGGCCCTGCCCCAGGGGGCTGGTCCTCTAGAAGGTGTGCCCAAAGGCGTCAGCCAAAGATCCATACTCACATGGTGACAGTGAACTGGGATGTGTGCGGTCATCAGAGCCAGGGGGCAGGAGGGGTTGGTGTAGGGGAGGATTATGGAGTGAAGGAAAGGACACAGGAAGGTGGGGACCCCCCTTCTGAGAGCGCATGGTGGGGGGCCGCAGGGAGGGACTTATGTCGCCGTTTGACACGGTCTGCTTGTTATATTGGCTGATGCGTCGAGAAGGGCCGAGCGGGGAGCCCCGCTGGAGCCGCTGCAGGTGCCAGGCGGTCTGGCCGGGCAGCAGGAGGGAGTGGGTGGGTGGTGGACGCAGTTAGGGTGGAGCTGCCCGGGCCGGGTTTGGGTGCAGGAGAGAAGGGAGTGAAGGATCCAACACGGCACCCCAGACTGGATGGCAGGGACTGGGACAGGTGGGTGAGAGATAAATCCGGAGCTCTGGGGCCTCAGGCCAGCGAGGGAAGACCAGAGGGAAGGGGACAGCGTGGTCACAGGCCGGAGGAGAGTGGGCTCCCGGGCCGGGCAAGCGAACACGGGGGGGTGGCAGGGGGTGACGCTGGGGACGCTCCCAGGCGTGGGCTCACGGGGCCTGTCCCACAGGAGGTGGACATCTACACCGTCAAGGTGGAAGACCTGACCTTCACTTCCCCCTTCTGCCTCCAAGTGAAGCGGAACGACTACGTGCACGCCCTAGTGGCCTACTTCAACATCGAGTTCACGCGCTGCCACAAGAGGACCGGCTTCTCCACCAGTGAGGCGCCGCGCAGGCGGCTGGGGGCGCCCACCCAGAGGAGAGGCTGGCGGGGTTCAGGGACGATGAGGGGGTAGTGACAGAAACAGGTAGAGAGAGCCGTGGGGACACACATGTTTGCACACCAGTCCTGCCCTTTTTTTTTTTTGAGACAGTCTCACTCTGTTGCCCAGGCTAGAGTGCCATGGCATCAGCCTAGCTCACAGCAACCTCAAACTCCTGGGCTTAAGCGATCCTCCTGCCTCAGCCTCCCCGCCTGGCTAATTTTTTCTATATATTTTTAGTTGGCCAATTAATTTCTTTCTATTTATAGTAGAGACGGGGGTCTCACTCTTGCTCAGGCTGGTTTCAAACTCCTGACCTTGATCGATCCGCCCGCCTCGGCCTCGCAGAGTGCTAGGGTTACAGGAGCGAGCCACCAAGACCGGCCACGCCCTGCCTTTTAATAGCCACATGGCTTTGGGCAAGTGACCTGAGAGTGCTGTGCCTCAGTTTCCTCACCCATGAACTGCTGGCCCAGCCCCTATCTCCGAGGGTGAGGCCAGGCCTGGGGCAGGGGAGCAGGTCTAGGCCTGGCTGAGCCGTGCCCGCCCGCAGGCCCCGAGTCCCCGTACACGCACTGGAAGCAGACGGTGTTCTACATGGAGGACTACCTGACGGTGAAGACCGGCGAGGAGATCTTCGGCACCATTGGCATGCGACCCAATGCCAAGAACAACGTGAGGCCCGGGGGAGCTGGGGGGGAGGGCCCTGGGGGAGCGCCTCTGCCGGTCCTGGGGTCCCTTAGCCCTACGCCTACATACACAGCAGGATTTTATTGCGCATCTACTGGGAGCCAGGCCTGGGGGCCCAGGCCAAAGCCCTGCTTGGCCTGATGCTAAACAGGCAGAATGGTGATAGGGTGACAGGGCACGTGGCATTTGGAGGTGACCCCTGGAGCTGGGAGCAGGGCAGGCAGGTGTCGGCATGGGTGGGGGTGGGCTTCAGGGTGAGAGTCAGCCCTGGGTAGAGTGATGGGACCTCAGCCCCTGTGTGGCTTGAGAGAGGAAAGGACGGGTTTGGTTTGGTTTGGTTTTTTCCTTTCTCCTCCGAAGCACCTGGCAGGACGGAGCTGCCGTCACCTGATACAGGGGTTCCGGGGAGATGCAAGGGGGCGGCAGGATGAAAGGCCTGGAGTTGGGGAGCAGTGCAGGCTGGAGATTGCATGCGGGGTGGTGGGTGTGGCTGGCGATGGCACAAGGGCCCTGGGGGGGCCCAGGGTGCACCCGAGTTCTGACCCAGGGAGACGAGAACCAGTTAAACAAACCAGCACATCTGAACCAGGGGTGATTTTGCTGCCCCCACAAAGCTGTTTGCCACTGTCAGGAGGCAGTGTGGCGGCACGCCTGGACAAGGGGGCTCCAGGCATCTGGCGGGCAGAGGCCGAGGATGCTGGTAAACTACCCACAGCCACGGGTCACTCCCCAGGGAACACTGACCTGGCCACAATGACATTGGGGCCATTGGTGACTGCGCTGGCCTTCCCATGTGCCACGTGCTTGGGGTGGGGGGCTTCCAGGAAGCTTGGGGGGAGTGGAGACGGTGGGCTGGGACCGTTGAGCTCTCTGCAGAGCCTTGCTGGAGAAGGAAGTGGGCTTGAGAGGCTTGATTTTTATAAAAGAAAGGAAGAAATAACTGCTTTGCTGATGGGAATGGCCTTCATGGGGACGATCTGGTGATGCAGGAGACAGCTGGGCTCTGCCCTCAAGGGGGCCAGTTTGGCTGGGGACCAAGTGGATTTGAAGACGTCCACATGCAGCTGTCACTTGAGTCAGGGTGCAGGGCAGATGCTGGGGGTGGGAGGGGCAGCTGGGGTCGTCAGCGCGGAGGTGAGCAGAAGCAGGATCTAGCTGGGTGTTGGGGACAGTGCCTGGACACAGGGCCTGCAACCCCTCTGCCGCCACCTCCTGCCTGCCCCTTGGAGGTCCTGGTCCTCATGCCCGTCCTCTCCCCACAGCGGGACCTGGACTTCACCATCGACCTGGATTTCAAGGGCCAGCTGTGCGAGCTGTCCTGCTCCACTGACTACCGGATGCGCTGAGGTGGCGCCGGCCGTCCAGGCCCGCCCTGCAGGGCCCAGGGGCTGCGGCGTTCTGAGGCGGTTTCGGGGTTCCCCCTTCCTCTCCCTCCCTCCTACAGAAGGGGGTTTTAGGGGCCTGGGCTGGGGGGATGGGGGGCACATCGTGACTGTGTTTTTCATAACTTATGTTTTTATATGGTTGCATTTACGCCAATAAATCCTCAGCTGGGACCCGGCTCGGCTTCCTGGGGGCAAAGTGGGGTTAGGGTTCCCTTCTCAGGGCTGAGATGCGAGCCTGAGCAGCCAGGAGGACCAGACTTGGGGCACGCTGGTGGCTGCAGTACTGGGTCCCCCTGCCCCCTCCATCTCTACTTCCCTCACTCCCCTTGGTCTCTCCTTGGGGGTCTCTGCCCTCCACAGTTCTCGCTCAGGGTCTTTGTCCAAACTCTTCCCCTTATCCCTCTCCTGGGGTGTGCCCCTCCCCTCTGAGACCAGGGTCCTGCACCGCCAGCTGCCCTGCCGGGCTGGGTGGGGGTGGATTCCCAGCACAGCTGGGCCCTCAAGTTTCCCAGAAGACCGTCTCCCGCCTCCTCCCAACCCTCACATTGTTCCTCTCCCTGGCTGTTTTTTCCTGTCCAGGACCCTCCAAGGCCAGCTGGCAATGAGTGGTGACCAGCCCTCTGCAGCTGGGGAAACTGAGTCATGGAGGGTGTCGCTGCCTACTCCCCCAGCATGGCCTAGAGCTTGGGGACAGGGAGTTGCCCTCCATGGAGGCTGATGAGAGGTGCAGTGTCACGGCGGCAAGGCCTGCCCACTTTACAGATGTGGACGTTGAGGCCCTGCTGACCAGCCTCTCGATGCTCCCCATCCCACCTGTGCTGCTGGCCTGGGGTCTGCCCCTGCCCTTCCACTGCCAGCACCTGTGCATGGAGGCCCTGGCCCCCAGAACACTGTCCACATGACCTGGGTGACCCAGCACACCATCCCTGCCTTTTTATGGCCCTGGCTACACCTGATCTGGTACATCGCAAGCCCTCAGCCAGCTGGCACCTGTTAAACCTCTTCCTCCTTTTCCAGGATGGGACACTGCTAGTGCCCGGTCTCCCTTTAACAAACTCCCCAGCTGGCCCTGTCTGCACTGGCCCCACGTTGCCCAACCCTTTTTCTGGAAGTCTCCTGGTCCCCAAGACTCCAAGGTTTCCCACGGTGTATAGAGAGTGGCTCCCTGAAAGGGTGAGGGTGAGGTCGCAGTACACTGGGGCCCAGGGCTTTTCCGCCCCCACGCCTTTTTCCTGGAAGTCCCGCTTTGTCGCCACCTAGAGGTGTCATCGCCCCGCCCCATTTCCAGACGCCTTAAAGGGGTCGGGTCTCCCGAGTCCTCCCGGGACACAGCCAGCGGTGGTGTGACGCGCACACCTAGTGAGGGCTCTGAGCTGCGGTGCAGGAGGCGGGGGATCTAGGTTCGAATCCTGACCCTCTGGCGTGGTGTGGCCTCTTCGGCTCGTAGACTTGGCCTCAGTTTTTCCCGTCTGGGAAGTGGGGACTGGCCCTGAGTCCTCGCTGGGAAGGAAGAGAACCTAGGCACGGGGAGGGGGCGGGGCTGCACCCCGGAGGGGCCACTTCACCTGCCGGTTCGCTGATCGTGACCCGCCTTGCCCGCGATGACCGCCCGCATCCTCGTCCTGACGATGCTCCTCGCCATCTCTGCCCAAGGGGACCCGGACTCCGCGGGCAGGTGAGAGGCCAGGGCAGCGGGGACAGGACGGGAAAGAGACCCTCAGGGGAGCGCGCCCTCTTCCGGTCGCGGTCTTCCGCGTCTGTGGAATGGGCAGATCTGTGAGCGCGCCCCGCTGGTCTCGGGAGTTCTGGGTGCCCTTCCCCACCACGCCTCCTTTCTCGACTCTGCTCGAACGCGGTCTTCCCCCACGCTCCCTCCCCAGGCGGCCCCGGCAGCAGCAGCAGGTCGCCCAGCACCGCGGGCGCCTATGTTCCCTGGGCACGTGCCAGACGCACCGCCTGCCGGAGATGATATACTGGCTCCGCTCTGCCTCCACCAAGGAGCCCTCGGGGAAGGCCAGCCGCAAGCCCCAGGACCCCCACGGCTACGGGCGCCGGCGGCGGCGCGAGGCGAAAGCCCTGCTCCATCTCCAGGGCCACCGCCTGCGGCAAGGGGTGCAGCGGAGCGCCCGGATCGCTGGGTGACCTCGGGCATGTCTCCTTGCCTGGCTTCAGTTTGCCCATCTGTGTACTGGAGTTACTACCCCAGTTTTCCCCCTAACTCCACCCTCTGAGACTGTCCTCCTCACCCCCTCCCCTGCCTGTGACTGGGCTGGGCCCAGGGGCACACGGACCCAGCCTGGACGAAGAATACTGGCGCCCCGAGGCGAATAAAACAAGAGTTGTGCGTTTCAGTCTCTGCCTGTCTGACCGTTTCAGCCTCTCAATCTGGGCCAGTCTCTAACACTCTCCCTCTCCTTTATCCACGCTCCTTCTCCCTCGCGGAAGTCCCTCCGACTGTCTAACTTGCCGCTGAGCGCCCCCGTCGCGCCAGCTCAATCCGCGCGCCTTCCGCGGGTGGGTCCGGTGGGCGGCGGGGCCCAGAGCACCGTCCCTCCCTCCCCAGCGAGAAGGGACTACTGAGATTCGCTCCTGCACCCTCCGCGTGACGTTGCGCTGCACCCAGAGGTGGGCTGTCAGTCCAAGCAGCCTCGCCCTCGCAGGGAAGGGAGAGCGAGAGACAGAGCGGAGTGGGGAGCCCAAGAACGCAGGGTGCAGGCCGGCTGCGCGGAATGCGGGAGGCTCAATGGTGGAGGCTCGGGACGGGTAAAAGAAGACTGAGGGCCGGGACCGAGCGGAGGGAGGGGATTGGACGCTGCGGCTCGAAGGGGGCGGGGACAGAACGCGGGGATTGGAAGGGGCGGGGACAGGACGCTGGGGATTGGAAGGGGCAGGCATCGAAGGCCGAAATTGCAAGGGGGCGGGGATAAAATGAGGGACCCGAATACGCGGGGAGGCACACGCGAGACAGAAATCGGGGTTTCTGGGTGTCGGCGATCTGGGGGTGGTAGGATTGCGAAGGCCTCTCTACCAAGTCGTGGACTTATCACCCTGGGACTGGACCTATGCAAGCAGGAGATTTGGGTCCGGTGCTCAAAATCGGGGGGCGGGGGTGTACTCGGGTTTAGTCCCTAGGATCCCAGCGGCGGACCCCTGATTCAGCGTGGTAAGTACCGGACCGCAGAGGCCTGAGATCCCTTCCCCCACCCCTAAACCCCCAGTGCCCCTCTCGCGGGGACTGGAGGCCGGGGCTCGGGTTGGGCGGTCGGGCCTCTCCATCACTTGTCCTCGACGCTCGCCTCCGCTCCCAGCCTCAGCATCCCGGCTGCGAGGCATGCGCATTAGGGTGCTTCCTCCCCCATCCCCTCCAGCCCGGGGCGGGGGGAGGGGACGCTGGGCCACTCTAGAGCGGATAAATTTATAGACACCCCTCACCCCCACCCCCGCCTTGGACTGGGAAGCGGAAATGGGGTGGGCTACGTCAGTATCTGGCAGGTGTTTATTTCATATGAATATAAAACTAATGTTTTTCTGGAGACCCTGCAACTCATCCTGGGCCGGTTTCCCTCCCCAACCCCCAATCTTGAAAGTCCTTTATTGGTGGGGGCACTGCCCCTGCACCACGTTTTCGCAGAATAGGTACGGGGTTAACGCGAGCTATCCCTCTTGCCTCTCTGTGCGTTCACAGAGGTCCCCAACTGATGTCCCTCCTCCAACCAGGACCCTCAAGACCCCCTCACGACCCCACACGTGCTTAGCGAAGGGTTAGCTAGGTCCTATATTCCTGGGTCTGCGTGAGGACAGGGCTGGGAGCCCGGATTCCTGGGTCCTGGGGGAGAAGAGGTTTGGGGTCCGGAGTCATGGGTCTGAGGGAGGAGGGGCTGGGGGCCCGGACCCCTGGGTCTCAGGAGGAGGGGCTGGGGGCCTGGAGAAGGACAGAGCCTGGAGAATGAGCCTCTGTCCTTCTCCCAGGGCTCTAGAGTGACATGGCTGAAGCGCACCAGGCCGTGGGCTTCCGATCCTCGCTGACCTCGGACGGGGCGGAAGTGGAGCTCAGTGCCCCCGTCTTGCAGGAGATCTACCTCTCTGGCCTGCGCTCTTGGAAAAGGCATCTCTTACGTTTCTGGGTGAGGAGGGCTGCTGGTTGGTTTCCTTCTGGGAATCCAGTTTCCTGCTTCCGGAATGCCTGAGGCCCACTTCCGATATCCATGTGGGTCCGCTTCTGGGAGCCTATCACCCCTTTCTGGGAATTTTGATGTCCACTCCCAGGATCCCTTTACCTATTTCTCTGTGGCTCACTTGGGGATCTGCAAACTCAGCTACTGAGAACCCTGTTGGCCTCTTACACCCAGGAGGGCCCCTGGACCCCTCTACTACCCCTCTCACATAACTCCCCCCTTTCCAGTTTCTAGAACTCCATCTCCTTCCTTCATGGCATGCTTCTCACCTTTCTCTTTCATCTGCCACTTCTAAACAAGGTGCTACCCGCTCCAGAACCCCTATGCTCTCATGACCCCATCAAGATCTTGGGTGGCCACCCCCCAATTCTGAAGGTAGCTCTTGCCTACTGGGGCTGCGACCCCTTCCTTCTGCTCCGGAACCCCCAGTATCCCTCTCCAGCACTAACCTCCCCATGTCTGGAATGCCCATGCCCACGGACAGCTTGAGGTCCCTGGTCCTAGAACTCTGACATTGTACAGAATCTTCCTGTGAGTCCCATCCTCTGTCTGTGAACTGGGGTCTTGAACCTGTGGGGACAGCCAGGACTGAGTTTGAATCCTGGCTCCACCACTTGGTGTCTGTGTGGACTTGGGCAAGTGCCCCTCTTCGAATCACAGTCGTCCCCGCCTCCCCCCTCCCCCGGCCACCATGGCAAAGATGGGTGCTGATAGCAACCCCCTCCCACCATAGCCTTCAGGATTAAATTAATTCTTTTTTTTTTTTTTTTTTTTTTTTTTTTTTTTGAGACAGAGTCTCACTCTGTTGCCCAGGCTAGAGTGAGTGCCGTGGCATCAGCCTAGCTCACAGCAACCTCAAACTCCTGGGCTCGAGTGATCCTTCTGCCTCAGCCTCCCGGGTAGCTGGGACTACAGGCATGCGCCACCATGCCCGGCTAATTTTTTTGTATATATATTAGTTGGCCAATTAATTTCTTTCTATTTATAGTAGAGACGGGGTCTCGCTCTTGCTCAGGCTGGTTTTGAACTCCTGACCTTGAGCAATCCGCCCGCCTCGGCCTCCCAAGAGCTAGGATTACAGGCGTGAGCCACAGCGCCCGGCCAGGATTAAATTAATTCTTACGTGGAAGCAATGTCCCTGGCCCAGGGCACGTGCTAAGCATTAGCTTTTGATAATGTTATTCTTCATTCGTTTATTCACCAAATATCTCTGGAACATCGTTTAAAGGGACTGGCGCTGTTTTGGGCACTGGGACATGGCAGAGATCAGAAGAATCCTGCCCTGGGGGTGCTCTCTTTTGAGTTGGGTGAGAAGGCAGAAAAGAAGATAGATCAAGTCTAGAGTATGGTGACACTGCTTAGCATCGTCTCACATAGATGGTGACACGTGCCATGGTGAGCAACAAAGCAGGCGGTGAAAGGAATGTGGGGTGTTGCAGTTAAATAAGGGGCGGCCCACGGAGATGTCCTGACATAGATATGATAAAATTACACGCAGAAAAATGCCCAGGTTTTAAGGTCTACGGTACTTGCATTTGACAATACCCATGTAACCAACTCCTGATCAAGACAGCCACCATTCTAGAATGTTCTTTCCAGCCCCTTTCCAGTCTCCTCATCCCCATTGCAAGGCAACCACTGTACTCATTCCTAGCCTTGTAGATTGAGTCTTCCTGGCGTTCCACTGGCGAATATTTTGACTGTCACCCCTGTGTCTAAGTCAAAACCTGAACCACGTTTCAGAGTCAGATGTTGCCTCTGCCCAACAGCCCCCAGCAAACCCTTCCATTAGACTTAACATCATAAATCCTATTAGGTCGTATTTAGTGTGTCCCAGGCTCTAAACTCACTAAGCCCTTTAAATCTGTTGCTCATCTGATCCTCACCACAGCCCTCTAAGTTAAACCTCCTGTTGGTTCCATGTGATAGAGGAAGAAACTGAGGCCCAGAGAGGTGCTTTCATTTCCCCAACATCACACAGCAGCCAAGATGCAGAATTAGAGGAAGAGCCAGAATGAGCAGTCTGGACCCCTGCTCCTGCCCATTTTCCTGGGCTGTTTTTCTAGAAGGTAGTCCCAGTGCTGACATCATGAGGCTGTTTTCAATAATCTCCAGTGGATCACTTGGGCCAAGCATGTGGCATTGTGTCGGTACTTAGTGGGTTGTTCATCGGCAGGAGGTCAGAGTGTCTCTTGAAATGGTTTCCACGTGAACCTGAGATTCAGATACAGCAAACCCCAGAGTAGGGTACCTTGAAGGATACCCTGATCACTTAGGGTCACAGGACAGCTAGGTGGTTTGAGTGGCTGATAGTGGGAACCTGGAGCCAGGTGACCTGGGTTCAAATCCCAGCTCCACCACTTTCTGCCTGTGCAAACTTGGATGAGTTCTTCAACTTCCTCTTTCCTCAGTTTCTTCACTTGGATAATACAGATAATAGTAATTGCCCCCTCCCTCACCAGGGTTGCAGGGGAATGGAAGGCTTTTTTTTTTGAGACAGAGTCTCGCTCTGTTGCCAGGCTAGAGTGTAGTGGTGTCATCATAGCTCACAGCAACCTCAAATTCCTGGGCTCAAGTGATCCTCCTGCCTCAGCCTCCCGAGTAGCTGGGACTAAAGGCATGCGCCACCATGCCTGGCTAATTTTTCTATTTTTAGTAGACACGGGGTCTCACTCTTGCTCAGGCTGGTCTCGAACTCAAAAGGCTTTAATGAAGCACGTGGTACGTGGGCGCTTCTTCCCCTGTTGTCATGAAGCCCCTGCTCTATTGCAATCCAGAGCACCAGATACAAGAACTGACAACCACTTTTTTAAAAAAATTCAACAACAAAAGTAACCATGTTCACCAGTAACCTTTTCCTGGCAAAGCAAAGAAAGAATGGCAGGTCATAAATGCCCAACAAGAAGTAAAGTAGCGGCCGGGTGCGGTGGCTCACGCCTGTAATCCTAGCTCTCTGGGAGGCCGAGGCCGGTGGATTGCTTAAGGTCAGGAGTTCGAAACCAGCCTGAGCAAGAGCGAGACCCCGTCTCTATTATAAACAGAAAGAAATTAATTGGCCAACTAATATATATAGAAAAAATTAGCCGGGCATGGTGGCTCATGCCTGTAGTCCCAGCCACTTGGGAGGCTGAGGCAGGAGGATCGCTTGAGCCCAGGAGTTTGAGGTTGCTGTGAGCTAGGCTGATGCCACGGCACTCACTCTAGCCTGGGCAACAAAGTGAGACTCTGTCTCAAAAAAAAAAAAAAAAAAGAAGAAGTAAAGTAGCGATAGAAGGGACCATCATAACATTTATTGAATGCCTACTGTGTGCCTGGCTCTGAGTTGTACAATCCACCCCTACTGCCCAGCCCTCTTCTCTGCTTTATTTTTTAGCATCACACCCATCACCAATCCTTCACGACAGCAGAGAGCTTGCTGTCTTGCCACAGCTGTGGGCCTGCAGTAAGCATTTGTAGGATGATATTTTCTCATTAAGCCCTCATGACAGCCCTATGAGCCAAGTACCAGGGTTATTCCCATTCTACAGACGAAGAAATTAAGGCATAGAGGGGCGAGGTCACTTGCTTGAGGTCACCCAGCCAGTAAGT